GTTGATAAAATGCATTACAGAAATGAAGCTCTTAACTACCTGAAGGAAACATTAAAAAGTGAGAAGTGAATACAAATTCCAGAGCATTGATGTCAAATTCAGAAGAATAAATGAAAATCTAATATTTGACAATTACATCATGTAGTGCTTACTAAAAATAACTTGAAACCAGTCACATACAAATAGAAATTAGTAAATTACAACTGTTTTTATATGAAGGATAATGAAAAGATCAAAGTAAATACAAATGTAGACCATCTGTCAAGGAAAACAGTAATGAAATGTAAATAATTAAGATATTATAATTTTAAAAGCATTAGGAGGGGCTGGATTAGAATTAATATCATGAAGAAAAAATTGTCAGTGTGAAAAATCTGAAGTAAATCCAATTCATCAACTGAAGAAGTTCCATAGGCATCTTTACAAGCAATTTTCACAGACCCGAATGTGTAATTAAGTTTCTATATTTAGCTAATGAAGATGTGTTTATTTCTCCTTTTCACACATAAGATTCATGATTCTTGATGCATAATTTTAATGCTTTTTTAGCTTGGCCCTATGCCTCAAACCACATTGACAATCTATGGTCACTGATTAAGTTTTTAAAAACATTTTCATCCTGTAACCAAAAAAGACATTCCACTATTAGAAATACCAATAATAACCTTGTCATCATTCATTTTCATCCTTCTATAAGTTAAAACATTGCAGAGACTCTCCAAAAGTTCATCTTTCAGATCAATTCCTCATCTACCAACAAAATTGTTATTGTTATCTTCTGAGCAGACAAACCATACATATACATTCAGTAGAAAGCCAGGAGAGCCACACTAAATGACCGCTGTTCTAGATATTATAAATTGTAATTAAAATGATTCGTGCAAAGGTGTCTGCTAATTCAAACTGAATTACCCAGGGCAGGCGGCGAGGATGCCCCTTTGCGTTCAGTTGTAAACCATTTCAAAAATGGATGATTGCTAATGCAAACCAAATGTTCACGTCTTTTTAATGCTTTTAAAATTATATCTTAATTGTTTGTGTTTCATCTGCAGAATCTCTGATGTTTTTTCATGATCACCTTTGAAAAAGATAGAATTTTTATTAAAAAACTTAGGTTATTGTTTTGTCTAATTTTAAAGAATCTAATTTTAAAAAAGTCATAGGTAAACAATCTACTTTCATTAAGATTTATTCAATTGAAACAGAAACATACTATATACATTTTTATACAACTGAGACAAATATTTCCATGTCAATTTTATGACTGGGAAATGCAGTCTCAGGAGATTCCCAGAAATACAGATAAAGAAAACTTTAAAATTTTCATTACAAATCTTAAAAGATTATTTTCATTACAAATCTTACTATAAAATATAATTAGAATTAAAAATTTTATCATCTAAAAGAGTAATTGAATAAGCGATAATTCTGGTTGGCTACAAGGCTTGTCAGCAGATGGTGAATAGCCAGATGTCCCATATTATCTGACAGGATAGCTTTGAATAATAAATAAGAAGTTTCAACCCCCGGTAACTCTGTGTTATGTGACCCATGCCCAGGGTGAATGACACTGTGATTATAGTGTTTTAATGGAGCCTCAAGAATGCCTGGCAGCTTCTAGAGTATTTTGCCTGGGTGGACTTTTTCCATCCTTCACTTCATTTCCTAGTTTATATGTGGCTGAAAACGACAATATAATTAGAAATTCTGCTTTTGTGGCAAAACCTCTAAGGTAGACCTTTCTTTTCAATATAAGGAAACCCAAAATAAATCGAACCTCAAGAATGCCTGGCAGCTTAAAGAGTATTTTGCCTGGGTTGACTTTTTTTCATCCTCCACTTCATTTTCTAGTTTATATATGGCTGAAAATGACAATATAACTAGACAGTCTGCTTTTGTGGCAAAGCCTCTGAGATAGACCTTTCTTTTAAAAACAAGGAAACCTAAAAGAAATCAATTGAAGGAGCAGAAATGAATCCTTCATCAAGTGAGGTAGAAATGACTTCTACTCGAGTTATTCAATCAACATCTACAGAAGGCAAAGAAACTATTAAAAGCATGACTGCCTCTCTATATAAAATCAAAAAGAGAACGTCGAGGAGCTCACACACATACAAAAGAAAAGGAAAATGCCCGAGAATCGATAAGCGCCAAAGGTACTTGGATTGAAAGGCATCTCAAAGAATGGAGCAAAATACAGCCCCAAAGACTGCCAAAAGAGACAGATGTGTCTTACGGTGGTCAAGACGGCTGTACTCATTGAGGGACATCCTGAAAAGTGTTTCAGGCTACTGACCTCGAACTTCTGATAATGTTGACTGCTTTAAGTATTCTCAATACTAAAGAGTTACACCTGAGCTCCATTAAGTGGCTGTTAGACTTTATAAACAAAATAGGTGACCCAAACAAATGGAGCTAGGAAGCATTGGGTTTGGTGTATTTGGGCACAAAATGCTATTTAGCAGAGGTGCCTGATACCTGAAAAATTCAACCCAAAGAAGAAGTAAGTGATAATCATATTTTAAAATATTGCCAAAGTAATCCATTAATGGAAACTATAAAATTTTAGACTTTATCTATCATGCAGTTAAAAGTTATCATTTAACTATTCATCAATCAAATTGTGGGAGTTTTCAGTTCCCTGCCAGTATGAAAAAAAAATATTCATATTCTAAAAATTGCTTTCAATATGACATCTTAAATGCAAAGGGGGAAATGGCTACAGAAATAGATGAAATCTATCTACTCTAAGCCTTGCAGAATTTTTTTAAGTATTTCTGAAACTGTTCATCTTTAATTTTTGGTGGCTAAATTCCTTCAATAATTATTAACGATAGTAATAGAATGGATGAACTAATTTTTGTAAAAGAATGCTATTTTTACAAAAATAATTTTGTAAAAGAATGCTATTTTTACAAAAATAACAGTGAAATTATAAAGTTCTTCCCCCCCTCTCCAAATTTTAAAAATTATCCATTCGCAGAAAGTACAGATCATTAGTACATGGAATAAATAAACAAAGCAAACAAAATTTCGATTGAGAAGCAGATTTCTTACCAGGTATAGAACAAAGCATAAGCAGCTTTGCAGCTACTCTTGTACGCATCTTTGTCTTAAACTCTCTTTCAGGAGTAGGAACAGCAGGTGATCCGTTAGGCCACATAGCTTGCCTAAATTGAAAATTTCATACTCTTTAGTTCTTACAATAAATTATTGAAACTGCATTTTAACACTGCAAAGATACGCTTTTCTTTACATTTAGATGTTTTTGTATCATTAATCTAAAGATAAAAGTTGTTATGAGACTTAAGATCTTTAATATTCTTTTCATATTACAAAATTGCATTCTTCATTAGCAAAGTGAATCATGTAAAATGTTTTCATCATCTGTATTTCTTAAAAGTATTTTGCAACAGATATTATATATTATGTGTGTTATAAATAATACAGGTTTCTAGTTTTCGAACACCATATCATAAGCCAACAGTAAAATTTCAAACTCTATTTCTTGTGTACACCATTGTCTCACAGAAAAATTAAATCTGAGATATGAATTAATATAATGATCAAGCTTTGTAAGACTACATAAAAGAATTTTTTTACCCTAATTCCTTGTTTAAAATTTTAGGTACACAAAAATGTATTCTTTAATATTTTGATTTTTTTTTAAATGCTTAAAATCGAGACAAAGAAACAAACACCTGAGCTATGAAAATTTAAATTTCTTTATTATTATTATTATTATTATTATTATTAACATGGTTTAAATTTTATTTTAAGATAAAGATTTAATATTATCCATTTGCAACAAGTATTGTTTTCATTTGTGTAATGGTGGGAAAAAATTCTCTGAAATATTTCATTGCAATCTGATGTATTCAAATTGCAATTTTTTTTTATAATCTTTCAGCCCCTATGTTAATATATGTTCAAAATTAAACACTCACCTGAAAGCCTTTATATATTCTGCCATTTGTTCAGCTGAAGTAGATTTCTGAACAAAGTCAATTATCTTTCTAAAAGTAATAAAAGTTAAATATTAAAAGTCATGAAATCTGAGATATTAAAACACTATGATACGTATATTAATGAAAGGAAATATCACCAAGAGAGAAAAATGACAGAAATTCACATAAAAATAATACTTAACTAGAAATTACCCAAAATTAATATATAGGATATTTTTTAATTAATGACCATTTGGAAAATATCTTAATAAAGCATCTCTAATGTTGCATATGCATAGTACCTTCTGGTATCTTTTGCACACAAACAGTGCTAGTAGAAATCACACACAGTGTGTGCATTTTGGATCACGTAGAGATATTCAAGAAGATCAAGTGACCACTAGTGATAAAGTCCATTATTCACTTCCTGATTGCAAGACACGGACAACTTTGCCAAATCTGTGAATGGCAGGCATACACCAAAGTTTGAAAACAGATGAGACGGTTTGAGGAAGATCCAGAGGACATGCAAAATACAGCATACAGAGACAAGCCATCTGTAATCACTTGACAATATTCTGCATACAGTGGATGACTCAGAAAACAGAAGAATCATTACTCAGAAAATACCAGTGATTTTCCAGCAGTTCCACTGTCAGTTTTTCACAAAACTGTGTTGAGAAACTTGGGCTATTGTAAAATTCTCAGTGAATTCCAGCAATGGAATCGGCAAGTGCTTTATTTTGACCTATATTGAACTGTTGAGCTACTTTGCTACATGGATGCTCACACGACCTTTTAAGTCTAAACAGCAGTTGCTAGAGTGATGAAAAACTTCATCTTACACAAGAATAAATTTAAACAAGTGTGATTCACAAAGTTATGGCAATTATGTTCTGAGCTAGATGTGTTGTTTAGCTGATAAGACTTTCTTACTGCAAGAGGCAACAATAAATATTGCAGAATATTATAAAACTTTAAAGAAATTTTGTTATGCAATATAGCAACAGCAAAAAAATCTGCCAGATTTATTTTGTTTTGGTAATATCACTAACCCCAACACACAAACTTACAGTTCAAAGCTTATGATGTCAGACTACCTTATCTTCATACATCTAAAAAGTCTCATCATCATGCAGCATAATGAAATGGACAAAAAAGCAAAAATTAATTTAGGTATGTTTATTCTCTCTAAGGTATATTTCTATGACATGGGCCTAAAAAAAAACATACTCTGCATTTTAACGACAATGGAAATTACCTAAAAGAATAGCTGAAATTATGCAGAGTATAAAAAAGAAAATGAATGTATTCAGCAGTTAATTTTTTACTGTAAAGTGATCCTTATTTAAAAAAATATCTGATATATAATGCAGATTCAAGTTACTTAGGAAGCATGTTGTTGCAAACCACATATGCTAGAAATGCACATTTAATAACATACCTGTTTATCGCATCTCCATAAGTGGCATTGATAATTTGTCTTAAAAGAATTACAATTCTTTTCCTAAACCACTGATCTTTGCTTTTCAAATCAAACACTTCATCCATTAGTAGGAGTAAAATACGCAAAGGAATATTGTCATCTCCCTACAAAAATAAACACTCTGCAGTATAAAGAACAGAAACAGCTTTTTACAAACATTGCATGAAAATTAGACCATGCAAATGAATAACACAATATTTTAAATTTTAAATACACTGTATAAAAATGAATGTAATATGATAAAAGTATGGAAAGCTCATTTCTCTGAATAATTATTGCAACATGTCCAGACCATTACACAAAGACAAGACAAAGCACATTCATTAATATTTACTTCTCTCAAATGCTATGTAATATTTTTATATGTGATATTAATGCTATATTAATTTTTATTCAAATCTCTTGCATTTGATTTTTGCAAGCTTTTCTACTTAAAATAAGATATATTATCATTTAATCAAAATTACTCAATAATTTGAGGATAATTCATTCCACAGTATTGGTGAGAAATCAGCAGCAGTCTAGACATTCTATTAATCTTTAGTTGCTACTAAGGGGGGAGGGTAATTTTTAAAGTGAGGTGAAACCATTTTTTAACCCATCAAATTTCATTAAACATTTAAATTAGCATTTTTTTTCATCATCTGATTTCCATTCATTGCTCTATAAACAAGCAATTAACTTTATACAGAGTACTTTCTATTATGGTGTGTGTGTGTGTGTGAGGGGTGTGAATTATGTAATTAAGGTACAGCCAAACATCTCAATCTTGACTGCCCAGACCATATAAAAATACATTATTAATTTTCATAAATACATATAGCTACTTTTGAAAAAAAAAAAAAAAAAACCTGCTAACTCGAAAACTGTGACTGTTTGCTTACATCACAGTCAAAAAGTAAATGTGGTATATTTTTATGTTGAAGGGTGTCACTTATGGAAAAAGTGTTACTAATGTTGTAGCAACCTTCATATTCAGTAAAGCTTTTGTTAATACCCTTCATATTCAATCAAAGTGATTAAATTGTTTGGTGATTAAATTGTTTTTCTCTAAACTAGTGGTTTTCAAGTTCATTAGACATAGAGATAACATTAAATCCCCCCCAAAGTAGCGATGTAATCATGTAATCAAAATAAATCTATATATGTAATAACGTAAGATAAACCCACTAAGTTAAAATAAAAAGGAAATTGATTTAGGATTTTCACAATAAAAACAGAATAAATTTTGTGTTTCCATAAATGCTCATTTCACATATTTTAAATTATAATCCACCCAAAACAAGCATACCAGATATTCATGCATTTTATTTTGAGAGCAGATTTTAAAATTTTTATTTCTTATGCTTTCTTTTTATCCTCTTTCTTCTGCTTCAATTAGCTACCAACCTTGAAAAATAAAATATTGGAAGGTTGCAATGCAAAACTGAAGAGTTTTTGTAAGGTTTATATGCTTTAAAGGGAGATATATTATCAAAAGAGCTACTAACTGACTTAAATTCGATTTATAATGCATAGTTTACATTATTGAACTCAGTACAAAGTGTGACATCAGGACTTCAGCAATTCCCGATTTGGGATCTTTCTGGACATTAGATCATCAGATTACATCTCGTAAGATGACATTTAGAAATTATTTATGACCTTAAAGGAATCAAAATTTAAAAAAATATATATATATTTATTTGTTTGCTTTCAATGTTCATTTGCTTTTATTAAAAATTTCTTTCAATGAAAGTTGTTTAAGTCACTTCATTTTTTGTCCTATACTTTATAGATAAACATAATTTCTTGTTCAGTTTAAAAGTTTGATTCTTAAGGTCCTGTGACTGCTGTATCAAGAATTCCCACTAATCTGCCAACTGAAATTTTTTCATCCTCAATAACTTCTCTGTCACTTTCCTCGCTTTCAGTAGTGATATAGTTTGGATTCAAAACCTACTACAGATTTCACTGTCTATTAATTGACTGATTATTTGGACATTTTCATCACAATGAAAAACATCTGTTATATCATTTTCATTTATTATGAACCTCTGAATATTTCTTCAAAAATTCCATTATTTATGAAATTTTGCTTTTTGTTTGTGATATTCAAAACCTTGAAATTTTTTCATCCTCAACAACTTCTCTTTCACCTTCCTCACTTTCAGTAGTGATATAGTTTGTATTCAGAACCTACTACAGATTTCACCGTCTATTAATTGACTGATTATTTGGACATTTTCATCACAATGAAAAACATCTGTTATATCATTTTCATTTATTATGAACCTCTGAATATTTCTTCAAAAATTCCATTATTTATGAAATTTTGCTTCTTGTTTGTGATATTTGAAAACCTCCAATTTAGCGGCCTAAAAGCTTGTCAAGCATCCACTATACTCTATCAGCGATGTACACGAGACTTGCGAATAAGACACGTTGCTCTGCTAAAATTTGTCTGGCTTTTATCACACACTGTAGAAGTTAAGCCTGAATTATATATTAACTATTTATTATATTTATGCCTATTTCTTGCACACACTTAAGTCTTACCTGATTCCCGAATAAATAAATTCCCACATATACTTAAAGCTTACCCAGGACCAAAGCTAGATAATTTGTGTCTCGGTGTAGTTTCTGCTGGTTTTAAACTCAGCTAGCAAAAGTCTCCTTAAATTCTAAAGATTTTACATATTTTAATTTTGTTGCTCGGTGCTTCTCGAAATTCTAAAACCTTTGCCTTCCCTATATTCTGCCAAAAGATGTGTGGCTGAACCAGCTCTGAAATTGGTCTTGGGCCTATGTGAATAAGTTATTTTTCAATTCAAACAGCACTAAATGAAATCTTTTGGCCAGAAGGAAAATCGGGGGTATTTGTAAATAACATAGTAAACAAGATTCGGTTAACAAGATAAACTAGAAAAATGAATGTAAGAGGCACATCCCAGGAAAATCTAATCCTGCAGATGTGGCATCTAGCTGTCCTTTGCAACATTTGGCATTGTGGCTCGTGGGTGGGTACAAAATTTTTTAAAACCCCTCTGCAAGATTGACCAACCTTTGAATTTACTCCAGACAAAGATTCCATTATGGAGAAATTAAAAAAGAAAGGGTTGTGAATCTGAGTGTAAAAATAGAAGATCCTGAGGGGAACAAAGGTTTTTTCTAAACTATTTTAGAAAAAAGAGTTTTTTCTAAAATAGTTAAGAGTATTCTGCTGGATTCCATGCTTTGGATAACAAACTTAACATGCCATGGATGCCATGATTCCATGCTTAACATGCCATGGATAACAAACTCTTACAAAAGCCCTGTTATGCTTCTGATATCCTAACAGTGCAGGAAAAAACTAACACCAAACCACTACTATGGAATTTAGAGCAAAAAAGGTATTTTTTTGAGATGAAGATTTTGTCCACAGTCTTTTGGTAGTTAGAGAAAATGATGGAGGTCTCAGAGTCAAAGCTAAGATCACTGAATATGATGATGGACTTTGCTTTCTTTAGCCCCTCTTGCTTCCGTCCAAGCACTATCTGACTGAATGTCTCATAAGAAAATATCATGAAACGAACTGTCATGCTGCGTGCAAATATTGGCAAACAAATTAAGAGAATGATACTGGATCATTTAATCCAAGCAAAATATAAGATGCTGCAGGAGCCGATGTGTTGTCTGCAGAAGATTCACTGCTAATGCTTTGGCCACACCTTCAAAACAGTTATTCCTTCCCTTCTGACACACACGACAGAGAATATTTAATTTTCAAAACTTTATTCCTCACCTTAAAATCAATTTCCTGTCTATTCTTGTCATAATAAAACTTTTGTTTTGCCCTGGGTATATCTGAATTTTTCACTGCCTTGTCCACTAATTTTTGAATGTCAGTCATCTTTAATTCCAAAGACATTTTTTGAACCTCCCTCAAAAAAAAAAAAAAAAAAAAAAAAAAAATTTTATCTAGGGACGTAATTTACTTTCTGCCAAGAAATAATTCAGCTGTTGTCTTCCAGGTAGTATTATGTTTAGCTGTTCTCAAGGCAAATGAGATTTCATTGACACAGTCATCCTAACATTTGCAATAATTTTTTACATTATACATTAGTTGCAAATAATTTTAACCATGTTTCTAGTCACCCATTCTGCATTATTCAAATGTAGTTGATAAAGAACTATCTTAAAATACAGTATGCCAATACCTGCATAATTTGAGTAATAAATTGTTTTCCGTTGGCTGATATTATTTTAAGTGGAGCTCCACATTAAGTTAAAATTTATTTTAAAATGAATCTCCAATCACTTTTGAGGATATCCTTCTGAAGGGAATTATTTCTACCCTAACAATGATTGTGCGTAAATACTTTTTTATATTTTTTTCCCAATTAATATCATTATATAACTGGCAAAAGTTACAGGACTTGACCCATTCCGTTAAAAAATTTTGTAGCTGTGGAAAATAAACAGCTTTTCTTGCTGTCAGAACTGTTTTTCCTACACTAAGTTGGCTTGAAATTGGTGCATCATGTCATTCCTGCAAAATACTTAATGTTAAACTTACTGGGATAACTGATCTTAATTCATTATTATTATTTATTATTTTGGAGTAAAACAAAGTATTGCCAATTATTTAACAATTTGAAGCTCTGTTTTTCATATCCATCATATAATGGTATTCAAATTTATTCGGATGTTACAAATACACATACATATTTTTAAATTCCAAATCTGTCTGCAGTTTTGAAATAACTTTTTCTTGAAAATCTACAATTATTGAAGTAAACAGTGCACATTAACTTTGTTCCCCTCATCATCTAATTTAATTCTAGCATATAAAAAGCTCCATTTTTTTATACAAAGTAACTGGCTTTTAACATGGTATAAATATATAAGTTATTAATTCTGATTTATGGTCATAGAATTCTTCACTATCACATTATTGAAACAAAAACATGTATATACAGAAACTCAAATTCAAATTCAGACTAATAACCTGTATATTTAAGTTAGGTCTTGCAAGTTTAGGGATTAAAATTTTATATGCCCCTATAATAATAGAGAATAACCTTCTCTAAAAAGAATTTAAAAATCTTAAAATTCTTTACTTATTTTATCAAGTCAAATTATTAAAATTCAAATTTCTATTATCATAAAGTATTATTCAGATATCTGCATAAAACAGTGCAAAATTTTTTTAATTTAACGAAGAAAGAAAAATCATCAGTTTTTAATGTAATGAATGGGATGATTTGGGAACAAATGAACTACTTATAGCTTAAATTATGCATAATACAGGGAAGTAACTAGCAGGAGTGGCCAAAGATACATCACACAACTTATTTCTGGAGGAATAATTTTTGCAATACATATTCTCCACACATCACCCTTTTCCCCAATTTGTTACAGCTTAAATTTCAAATTTCAGAGAATGGACAATAGATAGCAGAGGCAAGACAGCTGAGCACGAGCAAAGGAAAAAAGGAAAGGAAAATAAGTGCACTTGAGAAACAGTCAAAAAGTTTGCTAACTTAACTGATGAAAAAATATCCACAATGCTATGCTTAGGTAAGATGGCATGATATGGATTAGTTTTGAAAGACAGTCCAGAAAATTATTATAAACAATTAGGGGAGATATAAAAATTAAAATGAACAAACAAAGGGCTGTTTTTAATTTAAATTATAATTTTAAGTTCCATATTTTATATCTTACATATACTCTTTTGGAAAAAAAAAAAAAAAAACGCCAAGAAGGACTTTTGCGATTGAGACATAATTTGGTATGCAAAACATCTTGATTGAACATGCAAATGATCAAAGTTTCAAGGCAAATGAACAGGAATTGCAATCATAGCACACATTTCAAGTGCGCAATTCGCAAAGTATAAAACCAGTAACAAAGGCCTTTTTTTTTTTTTTTTTTTTTTTTTTTTTTTTTTTGCTGCCATTGTAATTCTGTAAAGAAACAAATAAAGATGCCATTATGACAATATCGAAAACCTTAGAGACAATAAAACGACTTTGAGTCGGGTCGCGTTGTAGGGTTGCGTGAAGCTGGGTAGTCATACCGAGCAATAGGCCATCACCTGCAGCATACAGACACTGTTGTGCAAAGATGTTGGCAGCAATGGTTGCTACGGAAATTGCCAATGAAATGAAGGCTCTGGAAGGCCAAGGAGCACTAATGAGAGGAAAGATAGGATGATTGTACACCAGGCCCAAACCACCTCAACAGTATCATTGTCGACTATTCCACCACTATTGACACTACAGACACCTCTATACCTCCTGTGGTACCATGCACCATCTCACGGCGCTTGTCTGAGGCAGGGTTACACTCACAGAGGCATTTAAGATGTTAGCCTTTAAACCACAACATTGGCGGAATCATCTGGAGTGGTGTCGCAGCTGATCATCATGGCTGCCATCAGACTGGCATTGAGTATAGTGATCAGCGATGAATCCCGCTTCACTCCTGAAGCAGATGTTCTTGCCTGGAGAGGATAAGGCCAGCGGTCCCAATCAGCCTTTGTTTTACAAAAATGTCTCTGTGGGGTTGATATTCTTCCTTGGCCAGCAAGGTCACCAGACCTTTCACCAATCGAGCATGTCTGGAACATGATAGGTAGCCAGATTCGGGCACCACAAAATATCGCAGATCTGGAGCGAGACCGGATGAACGCCTGGCAGAATGTGTCGTAGGATGACATTAGGAGCCTCTACCACTCCCACCTCAACGAATTCAAGCATGCATTACGCCAGGGTCGGTTTGACCAACTACTAATTTGAACACTCAATGGGTTATGGTGAGCCGTGAACAGGTGCTATGACCATGACTTTTTAATCATTTTATTATCTGTGTATGAGCTATACACATATTCAATGTCATCAAAAACAACCACTTCCTTCATGGTGCTTCGATTTTTTTTCAAAAGAGTGTGTATAAATATAAAAAATAAAAATTAATGAAAAATTCCAAAACTAAGATTTTAAATTATAAAATGTATTTTAACTTTCAATTCAAACCTAACTCATTTTTTTACATAAATTATATATCTTTATTGAAAATTCATTAAAAAATTTAATTAAAAAGCTTAATTTGGTTTAATTTTTTATTTTAACGAAATTAAAATATTTAATTTCAGTAATTGTCTACTAATTTTATCACTGTGTTTACACCCTCCATTATTTTCACTTTTGCAGGCAACTTCATTACAATTAAACTCAAATTTCGAATTTTTATTTTCCATTTTATCAAACTACCATCCTACTACTATATTTGATTCAACACTTAAACATTATTTTTCTATTTTTCTAATCATATAGAATATGCACAATGTTACCAAGGAACATTTTTATCACAGGATTTTAGTTTTAATTTTCCTTTTCCGTTCAATTTATTATTTAATTCACTCTTTTTCCTAATTTTAGGCCTTTTGTCTTTGAAAATATTTCCCATTTTAGGTTACAGCCTTTCATTCTTAATAGTATATAGTTTTGTTTCCTTAAAAAAATTAATTGCTTCAGTTTTGCCATTTCTTAAGTTCTACATATTTTGATGATTATGAATTTAGCTTATTATATTTAACTTGACCAATGCCATGTGAATGGATTCTAGGTTCTTATAACACTTACTCCTAGTTATTAGAAAGAATTCTCATTACAATTTATTATCATTCTTTTTCCCCAATTGCTTGCAGTATTTTAGTTTAAGCTAATAGCCTATCATTCTAAAAGAAAAAACTAAAAATCAACATTTGTTTCAATAATTTTACTTTATTACACTCTTTATTTGCATTAAAAAATAGCACCGATTCCCTGAACTGGGCAATCTAGCCACACATGAATCAAAAAACAAACACACTGAACATGGGGTATATTGGTCAGAGTGATCAATTACACTGGGTAGTTTCTTATGATACATATATATAGAACTTTAACAGCTGCTCCACATGTTGATGGGATTTTAAATCTTCTAACATTCTATTTATAGCTAGTAAAAGAAATACCACATTTCAGCATGATAATGCACATTCACAATTGCCATGTATATAACAAGAGTATCTATAATGTATCGCCATGTTAACATAATTTGCCAGATCTCCAAATCTGCTGCAAACTGAAAATACCTTGGATATAATCAAACATTATCTCTACATTTAACCGAAATCTCCTCAGACAAAAGTACATTTCTTCCAATTACATTAGCAAGCATATTGAACAATACACAGATAATATAATGATAATTTTATTTTACAATTTCATAACAGGTATTAAAATGCATCACTAATGTAGTTGCACTCGATATTAATACAGGAATATACTCTTTTCCCTTGTAATAAATTTATTTATTTTGCTCTGAAGGTTTTATAATGCCTTATTTATTACCTAAGTACTCATATCTACAAATTTCAGGACAAATGCACAATCTGTTTTTGGTGAGGAAATTTCTATTTTTCTCAGTGCATATATAATATTAAAATATAATGTACAATAATATAGTGTATAATATTCAAAATCACAAAGTGAAACAAATCTCAAACAGATTTAAAATTTATAAAAATATTGAAATACCTCAACATCAATACCAGCAGCAACTTTACAGCTTTCAGACGATGCCTGATCAATAGGGGATGTACTACGAGTTCCCAGAACTTTTACTAGACCATCTTTAAGTCCATCCATAAATGAATCAGGCACAGCTTTAACTATATGACCTACAGACCGCATAGATGAACAAAAAGGGTTCACTATAGCATCAACCTATAAGCAAAGAACATAAAAGAAAAAAAAATGCATTTCCATATATTTAAGACATGAATAGGAGTATCATTTCAAACAGAAATAAATATTTAAATTAATCTATGCTCATTTTAACATTTATTTTAATGAAAAAAAGTGAAAAGCTTTCTTTTTATTCAGAAGGAGACGATTCTTCAGTCTAATACACATTATATGCAAAATTTCTGGTTGAGCACGTAAAACGCCACAATTACCTCCCATTTCATCCCAAAGGAGAAACACAATAAATTTTTCTGCAGATGGTTGAATGCAGAATTTTTTCAATTTTTATAAGGAAAAGCAGTATCTTTTCTTGCTTGGTTTCCAACTAGTAGTTATGATCCTATAACCTATGTTTCATTTAAAGCAGTAGTGGACACATACTTTTAACCGCGGACCAAAAATATCTTTTTTTAGTGCATCATGCACGTCAGGGTACAATAATCTTTTCTGATACCCCTATTATTTGCAGAACATGATGGAGGAGGAAAACACACCTTCTCAGTAAAACTAAAAAAACACAAATATGTCAAAAATCAGACTGTTTCTATTGGTGTTTAAATTTACATTGTTTCATTTTAATAAAATATAAATTTAGAAATGAAATGCGCTTTCCCTAAACTCTCTTTCCAGATCATTATTTTAATCTAAAAAATATTCATATGTCAGGATTTTCTAAATTAAATCTAACAGAAATGAAAGGTCTATATTCTTCAGCAGATCTACATGCTTTCTAGCATATCGAGCATTCTGAATTTAAGTTGATTAATAGTATAATCATGCACACATAATGGTCACCTAGAAAATAAAGACTGTGTAGTTATACAAAATGAAATATGCAATATTTATTGAAAAAAAAATTCTGTTACATACCTGAACCTTCCTTCAATCCTCTACATAATCACCACCTTCATTTAAAAATTTGTTGTATCTGTTCACGAGCTACAGAATTCTCATGTTATGCTCATCTGCTACCAGACCTGAAGACTGCAGTGAACAACAAAATCTTGCAATAGAGGTATGTAACTCTTAATGAATTGCAGATTATTTTCGAGACATTTCTTGTTCTTTGCTCAGTAAAACTGTGTTAAGGAAATATGAAAGTCTGTTTGGACCCCGCTTTTTTGTGGGTTTGTGTTAGAATATTGCTATAATCACATTATAGCCCACATATGGGAAAGGAATCTGTTGTTGCAAACTTTGATCACAAGATCTCGAAGTTTGTAACATCTACAAACCATGGTTAATAAAGTTTACGTTTTTAATCCTAAGCTTAATAATTATGCGGAAATAACTAAACTCTTGATTTAAATTCTTTGAACACCCATTATATTATTTAGAGGAGGTTCTAACTTATATTACTAGGCTAACATTTTTTCTCTTTTATATATTTACAAGTAGGCTTTCATCTTAAAATTGCTACTACTGCAATGCAATGCAATGCAATGGCATTCTTACATCCCATAAGAACCTCATGACTCCTCTTTGAATCGAATATCTTTGCTGCCAACTTTGGATGAAGTTTCAATATTTATATGCAATTTACGATTTTCATTTCACTCTCTTTCTTAAATATAGCCAGAAATAAATGCTTTTAATGAAAAATCATGTCAATCATCTCATTCTCTCTCGTGTCTCATTTCTTTTTAGTTAATATCTATTGCAAGCAAAAAGGTGTCACATATTTTCTCTAGATTAACCTGACTTTCTACTCTTTTATTTTTTGCTTTTACTATAATGGTTATATGCACAGGTTTCTACAAAATCTGTTAAAATGCCCAGAAGCATCAACTAATTTTCAATGACTATTTCAAGCCATCACCTAAGTTTAGTCTCTCAAAATATTCTACAAACAATACTGACTACAATTGATAGTTTAATCTATTAATGCTAACACTCAGCTTAACTAATAAATTTAACATTTATAAATATTGTAAACACTATGAAATACGAATAGTTTCACTCATTACTTTAAAGTTATATACTCTATTAGTCTAATATATTTCAAAAAATTCTTGAATAAACAAACATGGTAAAAATGTTTGGTTTAAATTCAAATTTTGTAAAAGATCATTTTAAACTAAAAATTCTTAAGAATTTTTTCTATCTTTCAGATGAAAAAATTAAGACACTTTAATCATAGTACTTACTTTCTTGGCCAAAGGCTTCTTTCCTTTCTCATACACTTTAGGTTCCAGAAACTGCAGTATAAGTGTTCTAAGTCCAGTATTAGAATGTAATATTTCAGGAGTCATGAGGCATTGCAGATATCCTGCAAGCTGATTTGTGCGTTTTTCCAAAAACTGTGGACTCAGATTATTGAATGTTTTCTTCCCAGGAAATTGTAGGTTATTTAAGTGAGGAAACTAAAAGAAAAATATAAGTGAAACTAAAAGACTTAGTACACAAATATATATGTACTATTCCAAGAAATATTTTTTAAAGTAAAAGAAAAAGGTCACAATATTTGCATATGTACTCTGCTAAAAAAAGTTCACAGAAGAGCCATGTCACATGCACCAAACTTGCAACAACAGAATTTGGCTTTAGAAGGCATTAGCTTATTCTTTTTAGAATTGCTTGGAGTAATATCATTAAGGACAGTCCAGTTCTTGTTGTACTGGAGACAGAGTTGAAGCGTCTATTAAACATTCAGCATTATGTCACATTTTGAGCAAAAAATCTTGACATATATAGAAAGACATGTTGACATCTGTCAAACAGTACTACTGCCTATCATTCTACTACCCTGAGAAACACTCAGTAATGATAAGCTTGAAAACAGCACTGTACGTAGGCTTTTCAGTCTCAGCTAAACATGTTCCAAAATACATACCACAAATCTGAAACTTCCACAAGAATTCTACCTGCAAAAACACACTAACATTCATGTTGCTTTTATACTCCTTTGTATCCCCCCCCAAATGAGCAAGATAAATGGCTCAACATTAATATGATTTTTACATCTCAAGTGAGTACATTTACACTGCAGGCATCTACACTCCATTGTGTTTCTAAAAAATCTCTACTATAAATCTTTTTATTTAGATTATATATAAATACAGTGTCGGCATGAGATAGTTCAAGCCTTGTCGCGTACCTTGTTTCAGGTATGGCAGTTTCATGGTTAGGTGGAATCTATGAATTATATGTACTACTTTGAATCCTCCTTTACAATTTATAGTGTAAATACTGATATTTCAGGTGCATACAAAACAGATCAGCAAAAAACACACAGTAACATTGAAGTAGGTGAATTAGAATCGAACTTCTGAAAGAAATGCACATAAAACATAAGACCTTGGAAAAAAAAAAGAGGGCTGAATGAATAATATTTACATTATGCAAACTGTAAATATAAAATGTGCATCTAAATATACTAATCAGAAAGCAGATGATTAGAAATTTCAAACTTAAGGTTATACAATTTGAAATTTACATTCTGTCTCAAAGGGCATTGGTAAGAACATACCTTCTGAATAACTGTAAAATGAAAATCACGAAAATCACTGTATCTACGCAAAACACTCCATCTGTCTTCAGAACCATTTGGATCTTTCCGGCATACTGAGATAGCATACACAGCAAAAGTAGAACCAGATTCACTTGTAATGCCTGTTATGTATATGAAAAGAAAAATTAATATCAATAAACAATTAGTGTATTTGGTAACATGTTCCAAATGGAGTTAAAAATGGTAATTAAATATGCATTTAACTTAAACTATTTAAAGGTTCTACAAAAGAGTATTAAGTAAATTACAAAATTATTCTTTTCGAAACCTGATTTTAAACATGCATTAAACTTCACTTGATGAAGAACAAAAAATGCAGAAACTTTCATCCGGTCTAATAGCACTCACTAGTACTTTTCTTCATTCTTTTCTTACAAAATCACATTTTCAGTAAAGAAGCACCAGAGATAAAATTATCAAAAACAAATAACTGTATAAGGAACATTAAACACAGAATAGACAGCTACAAGGAATTTACATTATTTTCTTCTATGCTACATAAAACTAATTCTTTTAGTGAATCTACATGTATTCTTAAGCCAACTTATTATTAACAAAATCACCTAAACGCAAGTAAGTTTCCCCAAATTTAGTCTGAAAAGGCTGAACAGAAACTAAAAGAACAGGCTGCTAGAGTTTTACGATTTTCACCGTGAATATGCAAATATATGTTTTCTTTAACAAAAATTCAATGATAGTATGTTCTCCTTTAGGTAGATAGCTCTTGTATAATTCATTAAAAAAATTAAATTATGATATCTCCCCTTTAAGTAGATAGCTCTAGCATAATTCATCATGATTAATTAACCAATCAATCAAACTTTATGTTCGGTTACAAACTTTCAGGAGGGATAGAGTACACCTAGCAATGCATGGTCGAAAAGGCTTTTGTGACGTTGTAATGACAACACAAAAAACAACAAAAGGAAGGTTTCTGCTGCTCTTTACATAAGAAAACATATATTCTCACCCTGTTCTTGTCCTTCCTTTTTTGTGTTTTGTGTCGTTAGTACTGCACCGGGAAAGCATTTTCGACCATGCATTGCTATATGTTTCTTCATCATCTACGTGTACTCTATTTCTCCTGAAAGTTTGTAACCGATTTGCTGAAACACCCTGTATAATCAAATCCAAAACATATGACCAATGAACTGCACAACCAACTACTCTGAATTCCTGCATATTCATTAGAAGCTAGATTCTTTTATAAAAGGCAAATTAAAAAAGGGAGGAGACATACCCATTACAGCTTTTTATCCTTTACATTAAACAAAAATACGTCGTTACTGTAAAATTCCCAAGAAAATAGGAATGTAACTTCAAACCTTTTTCTATCACTTAAAATTTCTACTATAAAACTACATTTAAAAAACAAATAAATGCACGATATTGGGTTTTCCTATATTATTACATTTTCAACAAGATACCATAAAGGGATATTTTCTTTGCGTTTCTATAAAATCTTTATTATAAATCTTTTTATTTAGATTATATATAGATACAATGACATGATGGGATAGCTCAAAGGCAGATTAAAAATTAAATTCAACACACAGGGAAAGTAAATAAATTTCAAATCAAAGACAAATAATTATTGAATATTGACAGCTATATTACTCATTATTTGATAAAAATACCTGTATTGGAGATCTGAGCAGTTATTTCACATTCCTCAGTATTTATTTCTTCTGATTCAACTATGGTAGGTGCCACACTTTGAGAAGCATCAGAAACTGGATAATCAATCCCATAATCTTCCTGATCTAATGAACTAAGACTTATGCTGTCTGATAATGAAACATCATCAGAACTCTGAAACACACACATATTCATATTTAAAGTGAGATAAAATAAACATACATGTTGACATTCAATTACAGATATGTTTCACAGAGCTGTAGATTGCAATGTTTTTTTCTAAGGACACATTTTTCAGAACATTTACTTAAATTACCCTAATTACTTACGGCCCTTAAAATCTCCCTATCTCCTTAGGATTACATTTTTGACTCTGCACTGCTATGGGATTCTGACTCTTCTAGGTGTACCCTAACCCTCATAGAAATTTATGCCTCTAGTTTTGAATCACCCTGTATGGCTATAAATCTATGTATTTAGATCTCAAGCCTGTGACACAAGTTTCAAATTTAATGTAACTTGTTTAGTTAAAAATTATAAACAAAGCAATATCTTAACTGGATTGCAACAAAACAGAAAACCTAATAGAGCACAGCCACTAAGGATAAAATTTTAAAATTTAATGCACTCCAGTAAATCAGAAAATTAATTCCCCTTAGATTACTAAACCTTTTGAAATGGCAACATACTCACTAAACATTCCTCTAACAGACTACATGAATAAGATTTTTTTTTACTGATATATAAGTTACAATGTGAAACTTATTTTATATTTTTACTTTTTTATTAAAAAGTTTGACTGCTTATATTTTTAGTTTTTATTTTCACATTATAAATAAACTACATTTTGATGTTGCCAACAAATTTCTTTTGAACAGCATCTATAAAAATATCTTGTCATTATTTCTAGCTCTGACAGACAAAATGAAAAATTTTTCATTTCTTTTATTTAGTGCTTCTTTTCCTTGAAAAGCAAAATCTTCATTTCTATTCAAAACTTCTCAACAGAATGCCCTCCCCCCCCCACAAATTTCAATCAATTTAGTAGCCTTATTTCCTTTCATTTCAAAACATTGTAGTGATATATAACAAAGTTAATTAAAATGATAATGTTTATAATGAAAAAAAAAACATAAAGGCCATCTGCATATCTTTTTGAGTTTCATTAAACTACACATATGATCAAATATGGCAACTCCACTTTTATAACTTACATTTTTTTAAACTTTATTTTTTGTTTTAATACATTAATTACCGCAATATAAAACATAAATATTTATCAAGATCATATTTACTATTCTAAAAAATAAATATAAAAGGCTTCTGCATGTCCTTCTACTGTAGCTCACCACCATTTGACCAAATGCATGAATTCTACGAAAGGAAGAGGATTCTACTACACCAAAAGTCAATTGTGCTGAATTCAACTTATCTGCTTTATTTGTTTCAAGATTTCATAGCACTTTTTTATAGATTCTGGATAAGACAGCAATAACTTCGTTAGATTTACATTTATGAGAAACAAGAAATTTTCCATTGTCAAAACAAAACAATGAAGTATTGCAAGAATGCCAAGGAGATTTCCTACTAATTTTTTTTTATAATATTTCAGTTATTTTCTTCGAGAAGTTTGTATGAAACGTTAGGAACTCCATAAATGTATAGTGATTCTACATATGAAAATTGTACCCCTATTTAAATTTTGAATGCTGAATGATAAATCTTTGATGAAATAATATGGTTAGGTTATTTTTTAATTATGGCAAAGCCTCGAGGACTATCTGCCTAAGGGAAGGGATGCCTTCTTGGAGGACTTTCTAAGGGAAACTGGCTCATATACACTTTACACATGGGAACCACGAAAACACCCATGCAGCCAGCCCGTTAGCGGGATTCGAACCTCAGACCGAACTACCAGTGTTCAGCGACATTACCGCTTGGCCGCTGGTGGGCTGAAATAATCTGGAAGACCTTTAACATTAGTATTTTTTCCAAGGTAATGCACTGCACTTATCAAGTATTAGCTTATCAAGTATTAATATTAATATTATCAAGTATTAATATCCCACATTATGACTAATTTTAAGCTTATTTGATAAAAAAATGGCTAATTTGCAACTGCATGCAAAAAATACATATAACACGAAATGCTAATAGCTGTTTACATATTGTCATAAACATACCACTTTATAATTTTTTTTTACAGATCTTATAATTGGCAAATTTCTTGGATGTCTGTAAAATGGTCTCAACAGCTACAACAGCTCCTCTCAACAGCTTTTATCACAATATAAAACTGAATTTAGCAAAACTGAAATCTCTTGCATCTCACTGCAATTTTTTATATCTATTACTCAGAAAAGATGAATCAAATAATTCTATGGAAGATACTTTCATTGTAACTATTACTGTTAAAATGCTTAAAAATTTTACTTTTTTGTAAAAGATCATTGCTGCTGTTTTTTTTTTTTTTTTTTTTTTTTTTTTTTTTTTCCTCCCTTCAAAAATGTGTTCCTCTTACACTGAATTTACTATTTTCTTTGGTAACATTTTTCCTACTGTATTTTGAGATATAAACAGTGAAAATGCATTCATTTTTAAAATTTTGAAGATCTTGAACAATACGTAAGATATTACCAAAAGATATCTAATTGACCATATATATGTACTGATTTTTTTCATGAAGTACTTTTTTTAAATATAATGTTATAATCTGACTTATTAGTCAGACTGTTTTTTTAGAGGAAGACTAAATTATCAGGATTAGCATTAGTTTATCAATAATCACTGGTGAAGAACACAGTTTTTTTAAACTCATTATTGAAGAAATTATATCTTCCACGTTTTGACCATTAAAACATTTTTCCTTGGAGTAAATTCATTTTATTACCAAAATAGGATGCACTTTTTTTTTCAACTTGATTTTCATTCATTTAGCAGAAAAGCCTCAGTTTTACATGTGAAAGAGCAATATTTTTCATCACCACCTTCAGATTCACTTATACGTTTATTTGTAACAGATTCATTTTTACTAGCTCTCTGTAATAACTGCTCTTCAGCTTCATTTCGATGATTAGTGATGCCATCAAAAGTTAATGGAAATTTAACCATTTTTCAAATTAAAAATTTTCTTCATTAAATAATAAAATTCCTTAGTTATTTACTTTAAAGAATCAAAAACATTACAAAAATAATTATTGCCTATAATAAATAATATTGGAAGAGTGATTCCATGCAACTAGCAATTAAATCCTAAATTTCCCCACAAGCAGCCATGAATGACAACAGATATGTGCTTACTTTAACATCAAATACAACTATAATTATGAGTAAATTTCATTTTACCCATCAAGAAGATAAAGTATGCTATCATAACTCAGCATATGTTGAAACAAATTATTAATAATCTGACACAGAATTTCAATACTTAATGATTTCTAAAAAAGCAATTGCCAGCACATAAAAATATAAATATCATTCCCAAACTCAACAGCAGAAGCAAAATTATACCCCCATTTATATTTCCTACATGCACACAACTATAAAATTTAAGACATATACATATTTTGGAACATTATATACTTACACCTTTATTCCCAGACTTAGAACTGCAATACAAGCCTAGATTAAAAATAAATAAATAACATATATTATAAATTAAGAAACAGATACATTATTAATGCATCAAAATTATTTAAATAGAACATATCAAAATAAACTGAAGTTCTTTCAATCATTAAATATTCCGATATCCTAAGAGTAATATATTTGCAATTAAAAAATAGCCATCACATGTTATTTCTTAATAGAAGATGTCTTAAAAAACTTGGTGCAAAATGAACTCCTCCTCTAAGTGTCAAATTGATTACACTTTTCATTTTCATTTTTTACTATGCATTTACAACTTTCAATATAGAAACTAAATCATCCATTATATCATAAAATTTGTAAACTAATAAATGAACATTAACACAGCACCATCATATTAAAAAAGTTGTTTTTTTACCACTATTATTATTATTATTGCACTTATGCATTCGTGCAACCACCTAGGTGCAGCTTGATGATTTTTTACAGAAGAAAAGGGTGATTCGGTAAATTTTCGGGCTGCAGCTTACAGTAGATGTGGTTACCTAAAGAACTGTTATGCATATGGTTGCTAGAGTTTGGCATCTTCTGAAAATTAGGCGACTTCTACTATGGTGGTTGTGATAATGTGTAAGTAACATTATTATTATTGATTAACATAACATAAATGTTCTCCATTTACATACATACCACTAAAACCATTACTTCATTCAATTATATACAGAATTTGTTTCCTTTAGAATGCATGTAGTCAAATCTGAATGTATGACAGAATATCCAAACTAATACAAGTGGTGTGTTAGACTAACCTATGTTTGCGTGTATTGCGATATGAATGGTGCTTGATGCGTTAAATGAATTAAAATTACCCAGCATAGAAAATTAAGTTTAGGTAACTATTTGTAGCTACAATTAAGTTAGAGCAGTAATCTGATGAAAATTTAAGCCTCAGAAAGAAAGCAGCTTTACTACACTCAAACCTGTTTTTGTGTGGTGGATAGACCCCGCACAAAAAAAAAAAATAAAATAAAATAAAATAAAATGCATAAAACTTCACAAGAAGCTATAAAAAAACTGAGTTATTAAGAGTTGACTTTTACAGTTACCATGTAGTCGGTGATCAGTTTTTGCGACAACTGTTGTTTCACTAGATGCTTGGATATGTCTCGGTAGCCAGATATACAAGACTGAAGTTCTTTTTTTAATTGAGTATTTTTTAATAGTTAACTTCATCAATTATGTTCCAAAAATACTAAAGGAAACAATTGCTTTAGTATTTTGAATCTATTCTAAAAATAATTGCCTCAAAATTTCCATCAGAACAAAAGTAAGAAAAACTTATTAGTACATAGGTTTATAAATTGTTTTTCATAGCAAATACTTTATTAAAACATAAAATATGTAACAAATATATTTCGACAATTATAAGTCACCATTTTTTTCCATCCATAAAAAATCGTGAAATTGCACTAAGGTGGTTGTGCTAATATGTAAGTACCATTTTTAAGTGACATAATAAATGATTTAAACACATTTTACTTACTATCTTCTTCAGCCTTAGTATTTCCCTCCTTTAGCAAATCTAATTCAGCCAAAAGCTTTATGTAATTTTGACTCTTTTTAAATGCAGGAAAATATTGTTCTTCTTGCATTATATCATAAACCTAAAATGAAAATAAATAAATAAAATAACTTATCATTAAAACATAATAAATTAGCTGTAAGTAGAAGCTCATAAGTTATTATTGTATTCTTTGCTTAAATTGCATGCTTTGCAATCAAGATCATCATTACACAAAGCTGATACCTGCTATGATGAAACAGAACTTTTTTTTTTCCCTCAAACAAATGTAGTTTTCCCAGCACAAATTAAGATTTTATTAAAAATTAATGCAAAGTTCTCTGATTATTATTTTTTATTTCTCTACATGATTTAAGAAAACTATTCCCTAGACATATCTCTAAAAAATTTATCATAAGCTTCACAACTGTAGAAAATCCTATCTTTTATAGCATTCACTTATCTTTTTCAGTATCTATTTTAAACAATACTTTATCTCCCGTGCATAATGCGAACTAAGTATCATCCCCAATTATAAATTTACACAAAAAAATCAATACTGATTTTACTGAAAATATCTTAATAATGAATGACCAAAGCAAGGGTACCCCACTGTGAGCAAATGTGTTTCATATTCAAATAAATATTACTTCCAGAACTCCTACCAAATAAATTTTCAGATAGCAACTAGAAAAATAATTAAGGAGAATTTTTCATTAATTACTTTCCATAGTTCATCCATGGGATGTTAATTTTTTCAGCCTGTTTGAACACAGCTTAAATTTGCAACCCCTAACAGCAAGCCACTTAAAATGACATCTCGCCAAGAAGAGACTTAATTTGGCCTCATTTAAATAAAATTTGTTTACTTAAAATATGTAACTATTTTATGTATGCAAGTGCCTGTCTACCCCTGCAAAAATCAAGCCCTGCACATACATCTTTTCAGTAGAAAAGAATTTTCAAATCTGCATATTGATTCATTCACCCCTGCAAAAATCAAGTGCTACACATACCTCTTTTTAGCAGGAAAGAATTTTCAAACCTTCAAATTGATTTCCTTTTATGTTATTTACAATGTGTGACTATGTTTGTAGATATAAATGCTTTTGGAATAAGAAACTCAAATTCAACATTTAATTTAATGCAAAATAAAAAGAGTATAGATTTTTATTGATAAGAGAGTATAGATTATTATTGATTGTTAAAAGTATAGATTTTTATTGATAACTTTGTAGCCCATTGTTGTTTTTTCTAAATTTAAATCTATTTCCTGATAGTCAATAGCTTAAAGAAAGCCAGGGAATTATCAAAGCTTTAAAACATTCTTACAGAAAACAATGAAAAAAAAAAAAAAAAGCAGAATAAGCACATGCTTAAAATAATCAGATTTTTTTTCCTGTACCTGGATCAATATTCTAAGACAATCCATAATTAAAAACTGCATTAAAAGTTTTTTTTTTTTTTTTTTTTTCTTTGTGTGTGTGTGTGTGTGTGTGATCTCTGCAGATGTTGAGGGAAATCTAGATGTCAACCAATTTATTGAATGAAAGTGCTGGGTATCAGGTTTTTTTGATAGCAGTGAAGACATTTCAGTCTGTAAAGAAGTTCCTGATACAGATTTATCTGAAGCAGTTAAAAAAAATGGTTGAAATTGAGTCCCCACGAGGAGTTAGTGACCTTTCAGCAATCAAGATTTGCAGGCAGCAATTACTAGATAGCAGGGATGTAATGAAAGCAGAAAGGTTACAAAGTGACTCTCTCTCTTTTCTTTTTAATTTATAAAGAGGGAATTTTTTCCCCTGTCAAAACGTTTAAAAAAAAAATCTGTGTAACTGCTATTAATAAATTTTTTTTAACAAATAAGTTTAATTTCAAAGTAAATGATTAATTGAGATTTTTTTGGGGGGTCTATTTATTTAACAATAAATATTTTTAAATCTGTGAGTAATGCTAGATTTTGGAAAACTAAGTTAATAAAATACTGACAAACCTATTTATCAGGTAGATTTCAGTAATTTTGTTATTTAACAGTAACAAAGTTTTCTGCCAATCCAGATGAATTTTATTAATCGAGGACTAACTACATTCTTTTTAAAACAGAACCTTGATGACAACTCTGCTTTTGTTTTACACTTGAAAATAGTTATGCAGATTTACTGCCTTATAAATATAATGAATGCATTAAGAACCTAATGTTAGGTTATTAAATGTTATTAATTTAGTCCACCCTTTAACACCAGTAACTACATTTTTCACTTGTTTTAGAATGTCACTTGCTTTAACAGATATTATTTCCTACATGTTTCACCTACTCTTTTCATTCTGGAATCTAAGTATCCTAATCCAAGTACCTTCCGTTCATCAAGAATTTCTTTTCAATGTGTGAATCATAATTTACACAATCTAGAATGATCAAGTCTTTTAGAGAATCATCCTACATATATAGCTTGACAACTTCCAGCTCCTCATCTTGCTCTTAATGCATCTTGTTCCTGACTTGAAAAAGTATATTTCACATTAAGAAAACAATTTTTAGTCAATATACTAAAGCATCTCAGGTTCTAACACAAGCGATACAGTTTCCAAAAAATGATAGTTTAGTTTGCTGGCTTTACTAAACAATTTAAATGCTAACAAATAGTTTGCAATAATGAACTTTAATTTATGAATACAGCTTTATTATATATTAAATGTGTAAATCAGAGGTCTTCAAACCTTTTTGACTGACAGAACCATTAGAAGTATAAAGTGCTTTTTGGAGCATCCTTAGAAAAATAAATCTTATGATAATATTTAAATTAGATCAATTAGAAGTATAAAGTGCTTTTTGGAGCATCCTTAGAAAAATAAATCTTATGATAATATTTAAATTAGATCAATATGTTATTAGTGATGTAATTAAAGACAATTAAAAAAAGTACTGCATTATTTTTTTTAAAAATTTTAACATAAAACTAATCTAATTTTCTCTATTAATTTGTGCTTCGGGTGTCACTTCCCTTTCATTATATTTAGTGCCTGGGGCGTGCTTGCACTTCAAAGGTAACTAAATGTATTTTTATGTTTTTTAGTTTATAAACACTGGCCAGCTAGCATGAGAGCTTCGTAATTTTCTTTTTGAATTTTTATTTAGATTCACAAAAGCTCACTTATGGGACCCCCATGTTCCACAGAACACAGTTTGAAAACCACTATTGTAAACCATTATCATTGGTGGTAATTTGATATTTGTTTACATGTTTGTAGCCACAATAAAAAAAACACAAACGAAGCATTCGAATGGAGATAATATTAAGTCAGAATTGGACAACAATAATAAAACAAGAAAATCCTCACGAATTATGTCTTCTTCTTTGTGACTCATTCATAGTCGAAAAATTTTAACGCAATCTTAAACACAATTTGAGGAAAATTAGTGAAAAAAATATTAGATTCCTTATGATAATTATACGAAAGTAGGAGGCTATCTTATGATTATCATATGTTATTCAATGCTTCTAAGCTCTTATTTCTGAAGCAACACATGCTTTCCACAGTTTCACTGCATCATTATAAACAAACAGTTTTTGAGACTAGATACAGATATTTATTAATTAAGGAAGTAAATTTTAGAACCAAATATCACTAAAGCATCAACTGTAGCATAAGCTTATGAAACTGCTCTGAGCTATCAGTTTAATGCTGCTATTTTTGTTGTTATTTTTGGCTTTGTATAAATAACTGTCACAAAGACAGAACACAGCATTTTGGTTAACATTTTGCAAGATCTTTTCATAAGTAAAAAATAGCACACATAACACAGCAGTTTATACTATCAAAAGTTTTACACTATTGCATGCAATTAATAAATACTGCTGCTTCCCTATACTTGCATGATAAGAGGGTGATTATAATATTCAAATTCCTTAGTGCATCTGCACTTCAAGAAACCTTAAGATTTTATCTCTTTCTACTCAACATTGACATTCAATATCTAGCACATTAAAGTCCCTTTTCTTCTTTCATAATATTTTTTAAATTTTAAATCCTACTTTCCATCTGAAGATAGCTTCAGAACTATTTATTTTAAATCTTGTTTAGCAGCATTTACAAGGTATACAAAAATGTCTATAAATTTCAAAAGAAGGAGCTCCTAATGCCTTCCCAAGCTCCAGAGAAGTAATTAACTAATTCTTTTAGGTTAGTTCATTTCATTTAAAAATAAAGGCGATTTTATTTCATAGCTCAATATGAATGCTCTTTAATTTTTGGTTGATGTTGCCAAAGTGATTTGCTTAACAGTTTTGCCTCCACATCATATGGGAAACCATTTTTGTGCACACAGATTTGCTCATATGTGGATACGGGCATGTCATTTGACAATTTTAATTTCTCATTTATATTCATGTTTCATTTTAGTTTACTTTTTATGTTTCTGGTGGAATTATTTGACTACAGGAATAAGTTTTTTTTTTCCTTTATTAAATTTATAACAAAACATCTACTTTCTTAGATACACTGTGTTGTAAGCATATAAAATAGCTTTTAAGTAATATTAATAAGTTATTGTAATTTGCATATTTTAATTCTCATTTGTTCCTTAAAATATACCAAAAAAATACTCTTCTTCCCTATTGCTTGTTTTAAAACAGATCATGCTGAAATAAAATATTAAATTATAGAAACAATTTTCTATTGTGTAATAAACAGGAAATATGAAACTATGTAAAATGCTTATTACTCATATTTACCAATATGGAAATATGTATTGCAGGCATAACTTTAATTTTTATCTGTGTATATACTTTGTCACATCAATGATTTTCAGCACATAATTCATCTAAAAATGTAATTTTCTTTCAAATTCTGTAATAAAAATTACACAATTTTAGGATGGTTTTCTGAAATTTATTCAGCTGAGGAGTGATTCAGACATAGAAGGGATCACTCACTCTTGTCATGTGCCTATACTGAGAAGCCCCTGCACTGATCCACCTTTGTTTAATCTTTATTTAATACTATTTACTCATTATTTATGATTCACTTAATATTCCTTAAAGTTTGGATGATCTCTACTGTAGGACTCATTTGAAATATAGCAATGTAAGGCATCAATTAAAACTGTCTGCTTTTTTCTAAAACCTGATGTATAATAAACATTTTAATAATAACATATTACTTTAAATTTTTATCATTTTTGTTAAAAATGGATTACTTTCCTTTCTTTATATTGAATGGATTTGTCCTTCAACTAAGCTCTTTTCTGTTAGTTTCTTATCCTCATGCTTTTTGTTTAATTTCGACCAGTTGTTCACCCAGTTTTCCTAATTTCTAATGATACAATGATAATTTGTTAATTCTAAATACATGCAGTATTTTATGACCACCCTTCTTAATCTGATTACAAGACATCTTATCAATCAATCTTTATATATCTTAATATTTGAGAGCTATTCTTCCAGGTTTCTATCACTCAGGCTTTAGGGATTACGTTAAAATTCAAGTAGAGAGTTTACATGATTCAGACAAAATCTTCTCTCTTTTATGAAAGTAAAACTTATGTTTTTAGCATTTAACAGCTTAAAGGCTTTACAGCTAATTAAATTTGAACAATTTTTTTCTTACCTTCAACTGAGCTTCATCAAACCAGGCACTAGATGGCATTTCTGTGCGTATTCTACATAACAGCTTTTTCAATAAGGATTCATCTAATCGAACTCTAAGAGTGGCCTGTTATAAGAATATATATATGTATGTATGTATAAAAAATTGCACATATTTTGAGCAAAATTCACAAAACATAAATTCCTTGAGAGAAAAAAAAGAACTATTCCATCTATTTAAGATTAATTATTGAACATTTTTAGCAGAACACTTTAGTCTGAATGCAGAGTGTCCATAAGTCTACATATTTTAAAAATTCACAAAAACTGAAGTAATTGGTAGAATAGAATGCGGTTTGTAAAAAAGTTATTTTTGTGAAGGTGGATTTTTTCAGGGGGGGGGGGATAATTACAGTTTTCGTCAATAGAGGACGCTGTACAGACACAGTAACAAGATTTCTGACAAGTAATTCCTGATTTTTCCTCCTACTTACTAACTTCTAATTGTGATACTAACATTAGTGGATAAAGCATTATTAATGAAGCTGTTTTACCTCATCCAAGAATTGCCATCTGAAGCTTTACAAAGGATTCAGACATAGAAGGGATCACTCACTCTTGTCATGTGCCTATACTGAGAAGCCCCTGCACTGATCCACCTTTGTTTAATCTTTATTTAATACTATTTACTCATTATTTAATTTCATTTAATCTTATTGTTTATGTTTGGTTAATCTGAGTTTATTTTCTATATTTTATTTCTCCCTTTCTCATTCCCATGCAATTCATACTGTAATGAATATCACATTTTTGCTTATTTGATTTGTTAGAGAATCGAGGGCTTATTAGTGATTTAAAATTTAAATCAATATTCTACCATAATGGCAAATTACGCAGATTGAGGAGAATTTTTCACCACCAAAAGAGGAAAAAAAAAAACATTATTTATAAACAACACAAACAAACTAAGCATAGTTTTACAAAACTGGGATTTATTGAAGTAGAAGTTAAATGAATTGGAAAAATTCAAAGAGAAGCATATCTTTGAAATGTGCAACATCTGTATTACATGAAGAAAACTCTAAAAAGCTATGTCATTCAATACCAAGATACATAACCTTTTATTAGTTATAGTAAGGCTGCAAATATTCACAATTATCAATTCATTATTAGTTAAATGTAATTTAAACTACATCAATTAGAAGCATTCTTTATTAAAAATCAAATAAGAATTTTAATTATATTAAAAAGACGTACTTACTTGTTTTAATCATTCAATTTCTTAAGTGATTATGATTTAAAAGATAAATGAAAAATATATTACATAAATTACATTAGAGGATTACACTGTAGAAAGTGACTATTTGTCAGGTCAAATGAAAGATAAATCACATTTGTTTAGAGTTGAAGGACAAATTAAAAGGTCTTATGCTATATCAAACTGCACCACTCTTGAACACACTATTTGTCATACCACATAAAAGATTTAATTCTTCATGGAATCACATCATTTGCCAAGTCATATAGATGAATGGCTACCATAATATATGGCTACCAAATGACTCAAAAGCTTTGGAAAGTATTCTAGAAGTCAATCACATGCAAAACATAACAATACTTACACCACAAATGAACATTTAATAACAGATACACTGAAGTTTGTTTTGATTCTCATCTAGATCCTAGAAAATCCAAAGCCTTCATAACATGACAGCATATGCTTCCGAAATTACAAAATATTAACCTATGCTTCTATAACAGCAACAATCTACTGCTGTTATATAATGTAGTAACTCACACTTCTATAACAGCAATCAACTGCTGCACATTACACACAACTGCTGCACAAAGCAGTTTATCACCCTTTAAACCATATTCCAAATGTGCTTTATATCATTGATACATGTGGCTTGCATAAATCAGTTTCAAATACATATAAAAAATTTAATAAAAGGTAAAATTTGTTCTTAAAAATTTATTTTACATCTAAAACTACACAATAAACCAGCACTAATTAATGACAAAAAGATAGCAACAGACTTACTTTTTCAGATAAATAAAGATCAAAAATATGTATAGCTGCTTCACGCAAACATTCAAGGTCAGGAGGTGTGGAAGAAGAATTAGTGATCTGTGCTAATTTGACTTGTGATAGCATTTGTTCTGCTGAAACTTTATAACTCTACAAAGTGAAGAATAATAAGTTTGCTTTCAAAAAAAAAATTAAAATACTTCATTCATGATGTATAATGTACACAGAAAAAATATCTATCTGTTTATCTATCTATCTCAAAATATGTAAAAATAATTGCTAATAATAAATTAGCAACAGTTCTTTAACTCCCCTTTTCATTCTAAAAATAACAAAGCAATAACTTTTCTAACATAATCTTTACTCCCTTGTAATTCTGAAAAAGATCCATCATCTAATCTCTATTATGCACTTATCAATGAAATCTTAACCCAGCATCTGGATATTAATCTGTTATGTGATCTGGAATGTAATCTGGTATATAACATTTTCGCTGCACAATCTCACTCTCTATTGTTTCGACTCTTCTTCATGCCTAGTCTTTGGTTAGCCACTCTCTTTTCTTCTTCTTCTTCTTCTTTTTTTTTTTTTTTTTTTTTTTTTTTTTTTTTTCTGCTCACTACTCAGTTATCTAAACTGTGATATGTTATATAATATTGTGAGGTGCATATTTTGTCCAAGATGATGTGTGAAGAAGAAAACATTTCAAAAATTAGCTCCTTGTCCAGCAATAACAATTATGTTCATTTCAGCCACATTTGTCTGTAAGTCTCTCCTTCATTATGCATCATTCAAACAATGCAGCAAAACAACTGCCCAAACTGTATTCTATATAAACATATAATGTCTTATTCTTATATATTATTATTCCCACACATATAGTTCATAAAAGAAAATAATAAAACATAAAAAAGCAGAGAGGGGGAAGGAAAAAAGGTTGACATAAAATTAAAATCAATGATAGATGTACCAAAACAATCGCAAATAATCTACAAATCCTTTTAATTTCAATAAATATGAAATTACAAGAACAAGTTTCACTGGGAACAATTTATTAAATACAGTCAAAAGTCTTTAATCCGAACTTGTCGAGACTTCGACGATTCCGGATTATCGGTTTTTCCGGATTATAGATCATCAATTTAAATCTGGTAAGATGGCATGCAGAAATTATAAAATTAAAAATATGAAACTGTAATTTATGAAATAAAAAGCAGTTATGATCTAAAGGGTATCAAAATTTACCAAAAAAAGCATAATATTTATTTGTTTACTTTATTAAACATTTCTTTCACCGCACACATGCGTAAAGCATACATTACGCACAGTCAAAATTAGAAAATTGCAACCAGAAAACTATTTGATGTGTATTCGTGATATTTATAATGACGAGGAATTTGATTTAAATCATATCAAAGATGGAGTACATCGAGATGAAATACTACATTTAGTACAGAATTATAAGCCGAATAAAATAAAAACATCTGCCCTGAAGATGAGGATAGTGCTGCCAGATCAACTTCCAGTTAATTGCGCACCGCGATGTTTCTCCCCTCCCCGCGCAGATCAGCGTGAAATTGATAAACAAATTTCAGAATGGTTAGAGAAACAAAGGATATGCCTTTATCCAATTTTTGAAGAAATTCCACTTTTTGTTTGATGGACATCGAAAGATGCTTTCGCTTTGTAGATCCTTTGGCAGCTCCAGAATCGGAAATTCTTTTTGACAAAATTGAAACTTCAAGCTTACTTTTATAAAATTGCTGCTCTAACAGTCTGCAAAAAATAATAAGCAGGATCCAATTAGAAGATTAAGGAACAAAAGCATCCTGCAACATTAACTGAATAGATAATTAGATAATTCTAGTTAGCTTATACCATCCGTTATACATTAAACGCGCATGCGTCAACGCATTATGCATTCATACATGCGCAGAAAGTTTGTAGCTTTGAGGTCCAGATTATGGATGTCCGAATTAAAGACTTTTGACTGTACACCAATAAAATGTAAAAAACAATCTTTGCATATTTACTAACAAAATTTTGAAATTTAAAACAAATTATTACTGTATAGTGTGTTATAGTTAAAAAATGTAGTTTGTGATGTATAAAACAGAAATGGCAAAATACTTTTCAATGAATAATAAAAGTTACTTAAATTGCCTTACAAAATGTCTAAATATGGAATATAATGAATGTTAATGACCATAACAATTATCGATTCAGTGACATAAACTTACAGACCTAGGATGACATGTTTTAAAAAGTCTTTCAGTAAACTCTTCATTTTAAGAAATATATATTATGGAATCAAATCAGGTTGATGAATGGGATAAAACAATACATAAACACTTCTAACTAAAATATAATTGTTATCCTCTTTTGGAGGTATCATCCAAAAATTAACTGCTAGAAGCCATACAACACTGTCCTTAAAAAGAAGCATTTTAAAACATCTGAATAAAACATTAACTGATTCAAAAGAAACTTCTTAGCACGGTTATTTGTTATTGCAAAAAGTAACTTTAACATTTTGTTTCTCATTATACCTTTACATATTATTTTACTCTGATATTCTATTTCAGTATTAAATGAAATCTCAGCACCATTCGCCAGTAAAATGATTTTGTTTTAATAATTTCAGTAAGCTATAATAATGTTTGAATCATCATGCTTTCATCTGCATCATTGCACGAGTCACATATACATTACAACTTCAGTAATTAAACCACGAAAAGTTTTATTTCTAATGCTTAGGTATTTCGAAATCATTCTGACTGCCCATTAAGTCTGAGTTCTCTATGAATTCCTCTTAAAAAATAAGCAAATAAATAAAGATTTCTGGCATCTAGCGATTCTCTGCTAGTGTAAGCATTTTATACTTTCTCAAGTAAACCTGAAGGAAATATAAATTTCATATACTTTCAATAAAACATTTCTTAGCAGTTTAAAAACTAATTAAACAAAATTACTACATAATTCAAAACCACAGAAGGGAAAAATGCATAATGAACTTCCATCTAAATACATTATATTAAAGGAAAAAAAGTTTATTATAGATGGAGAAAGTGGTACTGCTTTATATATCAAATACTATTTCAAATAAAATACAATTACCATAAAATAAATGAAATATCTACACACTGAGAAAGAAAAACATAAAACTTCAGAAAAGAAAAAAAGTGGGGGGGGGACTGATTTCTACAAAAATGTATTAGTGAACTTAAGATGTTAACAATTACTAATCTTAAAAATGGCAAACAGTATTTTGATCAGTTTTCTGATATCCCCCCCAAGGAGATACTAAAATATTTAAAGAAACTAAAGAAGCCCACTGTCTAATGTATAAGATTTGAAATATGTAAACTTTAAGTTTTATACATTAAATATATTTTATCCTTACGTCTTATACATAAGACACTATCTAATGTACAAGTACATGAATACCTTCCACAGCCTTTACTTTTAGATAAACAAAATTTAAACTATGTTTTAGTTAAATTAAAAATATTATCTGTATTAAAACTATTCATTAATTAGTGCAGATATGCATAAAAAGCCATATATTACCTCTACAGAATGATAAAAAAATATAAAACCTTGAGCTGATAAAGCACTCATGAAATCTAGGAGAAAATAAGAAAGGCAGTCAACAGATAATCATCTGAGGAAATATGTATCAATTAAACACATTTTTAAGTATCTAATCTACAAGCAAACATTATCAGTCCATGCATTCAATCAAAATTCAATACATTGCATATTTAATTACAAAAATGAGGAATCAATTGCCAATTGCAAATGTATTGAATTCATGAACTGAGAATTTTTAAACATCACCAATGATTTATAAGATGCTCTAAAGTTCTAACAGCAATCATATTTTTTCCATTCAGACTGATTCATTTCTGATTCATATGCATTAATTTTAATATAAGATTTTGCATTCTGTTAAAAGCTCATGAAAATAATTAGCATATGTTTACTGAAAAGCATTAATTAAAAAATGTTTCATCAGTTACAAAATGTGTGCTGAAATTACCAATCATTTATACTAATATTTGTATATTCAGACTTAGTTTTATAATACTTTAATGTTATTTATTATAAATATTGATTCTTAATAAATAAATCATCCATTACATTGATGGAAAGCAAAATTAACAAAACATCACATTTTTTGTTACTTCTTTATCACTCAAAAGTTAAAAGAATAATTAAAAATGTTCTATTAAATAGTACATAAATTTGATTAACACACATTTAATGACACTTAAAAGAAATATCAGTTGCAGCCTCTATGCGGCAACATCATTAAATTTAAACTAGAAGAACAAGAAATCAAATGCAATCTAATTTACAACAGATACTTATTAATCAATATAATCTAAACACACTACTGAATCACCAAAAATGCTCTGCTGCTTTTCAAGGTTTCTGCTGCAAAAGTCAATATAACTGTGCACACATGCACATGGACTTAAGACGCACAAGATTAATTTTATAACAAGTGCAGACTTATTTTTACAACTTTCAGGTAGCAAAAATGCATACATCAAGCAAGTCTTACTTCCTGAGAAGTTTCCGAATTAGGTTCACTTTTTGTTGTATAAAAAAATAAACACCTTAATTATGTTTGTGAGAAATGCAATTATCTAAGTATTTCACTGTAACGAGAAAAAATATTAAATTATTCACCATGATGCAGAATGTTATTCATCATTAATAATGCTGATTTGATTTCAAGAATGCCTTTTCCTTATCTGAAATTTTTCTGATGTTCTACATAAAACCAGTACAGTATAACAGTTGAAAACCTTTTTTGCCTTTGCACTGTTCAGAAAAAGTAGATAAATTAAGCAAATTGATATCGCACAGACTCCATCTGCTTATCCATCTTTTATCCTTATTTTTTATCATAAAAAAAGAACCATTTCGAAAATTTCTGTTGATCAACAAAACAAAATGAGCCCATTATTACACTAGCAACAAGTGGTTACATCATTGGCAGATGCTGACAGATTCCATTTCCCACACTGCAAAACATCCATTCCAGTTGAAGAAGCTAATATTGTATGTGGTAAACAATAGTTGGTATGGTGAGTTTCTCTCTCATGGCCACTGTTATGGATGAAATCTACACTACTCGGCTTCCTTTCCATCAGAATTCCAGCACTTATTAATAGAGAAAAATGTGAATCTTGCTAGACAAATTACACACAATAAAAATTATCCCTGAAGCAATTATTGCTTTGAAATGGAAATTGTTCACACAATTGTTGCTTTAGAATGCACATGCCTTATTCCCTAGATATCTTCCTAAATAATTATCATTCATTTTATACTCTGAAAACATATTTATGAAATGTTCCTGAAGATGGATAGATAAAAGTGGCCACTGACATTTTTCAAAGACACAATATATGATAGATAGACAATTATATCACATCAAAAGAAACTAGACATAGGCTATTTTGATGCCTTTTTGATGATTTTATAATTTTTTGTCATACAAATATTGTATTCTGCAATTTCATCCAAAAAGTGATAAAAATTTTTGCAAAAGTGATAAAAATAATAACTATCATGTATGAAAGAAACGTCAGCTTGATTTTTTTTTTATACACTAATCTAAAAAGTATCATTAATTTAATATAAAATCAAGCAAAAAATATTGTAGCAAACACATGATTTTGGGAAAAGCATAAATATTACTAACCAGTGAAATAATGTAAAGCAATGTTATTTGTCAGAACAACATCAAAATGCAGGGTGAAAAGTTTAACACCTGGCTCTGTCAACACTTTCCAGTCAATACCCTTAAAGAAAAAAAAAAGAGGATGTGAAGATTAGTTTAAATTAGTTTTAAAGAATCATTATTAGAAAGAAATGTCACAATGAATTACAAATCAAAATTCCTGCTAACATCCTCCCTACTGGTGTCATCTCTCACTTTTATTGTCACAAGTGAAAAAGAGATTTCTGCGCTTTTTAGATATTTCCATAAGGGGAGAGAGAAAAATCAATAATAGGAACAATAAATTTACATTCTTTTTGCATTAAAACATCCTACTAAAATCTTACTATGAAGTACTTCTAAGCGAAGAAAACAAAGTCTATGTTGGAGTAAATTTCAATATTCAGACTCTCATTGTAATAAAGTCATTTAATGTAACAAAAGTTACACACATTTGGGAATATAGATAATCTCTGTATCACAAGCAATTGTCATAAGTTTTAATTCTAGTTATATTAAAAATAAATTTAAGTACATATAAACAGGGTATTTGTTTATGGATTTACTTTGTTTATGGATTACGAAAATTGACTGACATAACCATCCTTACTTTAACATTGTGTCTATGGAAATATTTGTCATGGCTTTCACATACTAATAACAAATTACCATGTAAATTCTCAGTACTACGTTTTAAAATCCTAGTGTTGAAAGACGAATATAAATTAAGGAAAACTAATAAATGTTATTGAAATTTTAAAGAGACATACACAGAGGAAGGGGGCAGGCACTGTTACTAAATGTATTGAAGTATATTTATTTATTTATTTACATATTTTAATTATATTTAAAATAATAAAATATTGGTTAATTTTTAACAGGCTTGATCACACTTAAGTCACCTACAATTTAGATAAACATTCTGAAAACACAAAACAATTTGTGATTTCAAATTTCATTGCATAAATAATGCCCATTTTTGATTTATCTACATTTAATTTCTGTTAATATTAAATTTCTACGGACATTTACATCAAATAATTCAGGATTAATTTGACTTTCATTATATGCATTGTATATGATGTTACTCATTAGACAAATATGAAACACTCTGTAATACTATAAAAAATTATATCCGTGGAGATACCAAATTTGAAGAGGCTGTCCATAATACTTAACATGATACTTGAGCACTTCTTGCTGGAAGGGAACAAATTCAATAGCATAAACTGGATATTACACCATATAAAAGGCATATTAATTAAAGTTTTGCACAAGAAGCAAAAAATCAAGACACCTTTATCCATGTTACTGCCTTGATCAACTTTATTACATGCTTCACTGCAGTGCACACTTCATGACTATGGTAAGAAACAGTGTTATATGTAAATAATTTAATTTCTTTCACAAGCAGTGCATTCAAGATGTCAGTAGAAAAAATGATTCTAAAGAAAGTTTTCTTCTTCTGAACACTGTTGAATATCTTTTTATCTGGTTGTAATGAATGTTTTCTGCCAGAAAAAGTTAATAAAGTTAAAAAAAAAAATTAAAGCAGTACCTTTACTGCAAATAATAATCATTGATCAAATCTATGATTTTTCTGCCAACGTTATAGTATCTTTTCAAAGCCTTTGGGCCCAGAAACTTGGTGGTCGCGAGTCCAAAACCTTATTTCAGATGTCCTACACATAATGGAAGATAGCTCCAGCAAGATGTAGCTGCAGGTGTGAAAAATGGTAGAAATCCAAAGGAGCCATGTTTGGGGCTATGTGGTGGGTGTGGCAAAAAATTCCATTCAAGTCCATACAAAGTTCAGCCGGTGAATGCAGACACGTTGGTTTTGCATTATCTTGATGGAACATTACCTTTTTGTGCAGGAACTCAGTTCAACATTTTTCCTTGACAGCGGCATCAACAAGGACTAGCATCTCACTGTACACCTTACTGTCGAGGGTTTTATCTTTATATTCTTCGTGGATAACACCATAGCAATCCCACCAGATACAAAGCACAATCTTTTTGTTAGTCAAATTGCACTTTGTGATGCTGCCCATGAGCTCACTGGGCACAGACCAACCCTCTTTTTGCCCTGTGCTGTTGAAGTAAATCCATTTCTCATCACAAATAACGATCTGGTCCAGAATTTTGTCCTTGCATTGATGTTCAAACAGATTAGTGCAGCCCCGAACATGTCTGTCCTTTTCTGTTTGAGTCAGCTCATGTGGTGTCCATCCATTGAACTATTGGCTCTGACTCCAAATTAATCTTTATTTTTACAACTCCGTTTCATCAAATAATGCCAATCTTTTTGTTGCCATTCTGAAAACAACAAAAAACAAATAAAACGATATTAATCAGTATTTAAAGTTTCTGCATAAGTTCAAGACACAGCAGTACTCTCTTCCCAGTAACTAAGTTATGGTAGAGCATAATATTACCTTTTAAACACACTATTTACAAAAAATATATTATTGATACATGTAAAATGCTAATCCTGAAATCCCACAGGGGGTTTTATTGTCCGCCCTACATGCAACTGTTTTGCAGGAAACTTGTTAATTTTAGGAGGTAAGTCTGTTGAAGGTTTGACAGGTTGTCTCATTGACGTTGTTGGTTGCTTTGTATTAATGTCTGGTGTTTGCAAGAAATATGCAGGCTTTAATCTATCAATAGACACTGTAACATCTTTGTGATTAATTTTTACTGCAAAATATTTTTCTTTTCTGTCATCCACTTGAAAAGGACCATCGTAAGGGGTTTCTAATTGCTTTTTAACTCTGTCTTTGCGAATAAACACATGCAATGTTGTTTTCAAGTCTTTAGGGACGAATATTTTTTGGACATACTTATCGGATACTGTTCTTGGTCCAATTTTTTCCATAGTTTATTTTAGCTGCTTGACAAAAATATCAGGTGGTGTAGGAGTTGTGCTATCATGGAAAAATTTTCCAGGTAATCGTTATTTTGTCCATAAACCATTTGAGCAATGGTATATGCAGTCTTCCTGCATAGCTGTAAGCCAAGAAGAACAGTTGGAAGTGTTTCAGTCCAGGCCAGGCTATTGTGAGCCAGAAGTGCGGTCTTGAGAGATCTATGGAGGCGTTCTACCTTCCCATTTGCTTGGGGGTGGTAAGACGTTGTATGTTACAATTTTATTCCACACATTTTTGATAGGTTGTTGAACAACTCCGAACTAAACTGCAGTCCACGATCTGTGACTAGGCGACATGGCATCCAAAATCTTGAAATCCAATTAGAATAAAATGCTTTAGCAACTGTGTCTGGCAAAATATTGTTAAGTGAAATCACTTCCATCCAGTTAGAGTACCGGTCAATGCAAGTGAGACAGTAAATATTCCCATTTGATGATGGTAGGGGTCCAATAATCAATATGCATGTTACAAAATCTTTCTGAAGGCAGTTGAAAATCACTGAAACTTGATTTTGTATATCTATTAATTTTACTTCTTTAGCAAGCCATGCCACGATCGAGTCCAAAGCTGTACATCTTTATGGGTACTTGGCTAAATAAATTTAGACGATAAGAGTTTTACAGATGGCATAATGCCAGGATGGGCTACATTATGCATTTGATAAAATATATTCTTGCGATAACTGTCTGGAATATATGGTCTGCTATTATTCATTGAATTCATTCAAATGGATTTTGTGTTGTTCTTCACTAGCAGATGCTATCAGAATGTCATCTAAGTATGGAAAAGCAAAATTTAGACCAGAAAGAACTGTATTTATAAATTTTTGGAATGTTGCTGGTGCATTCTTCAAACCAAAACTCAAAACATTAAATTCATATAATCCAAAAGGAATTAACAATAGCAGTTTTATATCTGTCTTCTTCGGCAATGGGCACTTGATAGTAGGCTTTAAATAAATCTATTTTGGAATAAATATGCATAGCTTTTAAAATATGATGGAAGTCCTCTAACCCAGGAATAGGATATCTATCAGGAACTGTATCATTTAGCTGTTTATAATCTCCACATGGGCAAAGAATACCATCTTTGTTTTAGCACCACATGCAGAGGACTTGCCCATTGAGAGCTCGATGGTCTTATTATGTTATTGTCCAACATGAATTGGAACTCTTGCTTAACTACTGCAAGCTTTCGAGGATCCAACTGTCTTGCTTCAGAATGCACAGGTTGACCATGTGTTATGATATGATGTTGAACATTATGTTTTAAACCTGATAAGATTAAATTTGGTTTGCTTAAGTCTGGGTATTGTTTTAGAAGAGTATTAAATTTTGTTGAATGGGTTACTGTAACGATATCACTATTTTCACTGATGGAAGCAACTTCACCAGTTATTTTTAGTTGAGTTACTCCATCAATCAGTTTTTGCCATGTAAATCAATTATTAATTTAAATTTGTTAAAGAAATCAGCTCCTAAAATTCCTTTATTAATTTTGGCTACTATAAATGGAAATTGGAATTCACGCCTAAGTCCTAAATCAAGTGTTAACATTTTTATACCATACGTTTCGATTTTGGTACCATTCGGTGCATACAACTTGAAATCTGCAGATTGTTTGTCTTGTGCTGATGCAGGTAAAATGCTAACATCTGCACCGCTATCTACTAAGAAACGCACTTTAAATTTTTTATCTCTGATAAATAGGCGAAATTGGCGACATTCTTTAGCTTTATCGGCAGTAGAGCTTGCCGCGTCTTCTACTACGCATTGTCATTTCCCTGATTGGATGATCTATCAAATGACCAACTGCACAGCTGAGTGCATTTATCCTGATGACACTCGTTACCGAAACGGAAATGATAAAAACAATATTTTCTTTTAGAGTCATGTCGGCAATTTTTTGTTCAAGGGATTGAATTTTCATCAACAGTTCTGTATTGGAGCAATTACCAGCTGTTGATACACCACAAATCTCTTTAGAAGGTGTCATATCTGAAATTTTATCAGCCATGATTGCCAACTTGGGTAATTCTTCGTCACTAACAAGTATTATATTAGGCATAGAATTCAGCAATTTCTCTAACCATAACGTTTTAAATAAATTTTCGTACACATCCGATGTTGCAACAAATTTTAATTTTGTA